CCATACTTATTCAACCTGTACGCTGAGCAAATAATCTGAGACACTGGATTATATGAAGAAAAACGTGGCATCAGGATTGGAGAAAGACTCAATAACAACCTGCCATATGCAGATGATACAACCTTGCTTGCTGAAAGTGAAGAGGACTTTATATATTTATTGATGAAGGTCAGAGACCACAGCCTTTGGTATGGATAACATCTCAATGTAAAGAAAACAAAAATCCTCACCAATGGACCAATAAACAACATTCTTATCAACGGAGAAAAGAATGAAGTTGTCAGGGACTTCATTCTTCTTGGGTCAACTGTCAACACTTACGGAAGCAACATTCAAGAAATCAAATGATGCACCACTGCATTAGGCAAATGTGCTGTACAAGATCTTTTGAAAGTGTTGAAGAGCAAAGATGTCAGTTTGAGGATTAAGGTGCGCCTGACCCAAGCCATGGTGTTTTCAGTAACCTCATATGCATGTGAAAGCTGGACAGTGAATAAGGAAGACCGTAGAAGAATTGATGCTTTTGAGTTATGGTGTTGGAGGGGAATATGAAAAGTGTCATGGGCTGCCAAAAGAACCAACAGATCTATGTTAGAAAAAGTGCAGCCAGAGTGCTCCTTGGAGGCCAGGATGGCTAAATTTCGTCTCTCATACTTCAGACACATTGTCAGGAGGGACCTGCCATTGGAGAAGGATATCATGTTTGGTAAGGTGGAGGGTCAGAGAAAAAGAGGAAGACCTCCCAATGAGATGGACTGACAAAGTGGCAGCATCAAAGGACTCAAGCATGGCAACAATTGTGAGGTTAGCTCAGGACTGGGCAGTGTTTTGTTCTGCTCTGCATAGGGTTGATATGAGTTGGTACCGACTCGATGGCACTTTACAACAACAAGGGCAAAATACTGATTGAGTCAGAAAGCATCAAACGGAAGTGGAAGGAATACAGAGAGTCACTGTGCCAAAAAGAAATGGCCAGTGTTCAACCATTAGGACAGCCAATGATACTGAAAGAAGTCTAAGGTGCACTGAAGGCACTGGCAAAAAACAAGGCTCTGGGAATTGATAGAATACAAATAGAAATCTTTCAACAAACTGATGCAACATTGGAGGCACTCTTTAGTCTATGCCAAGAAATTTGGAAGACAGCTGCTTGGCTAACTGACTGGAAGAGATCCATTATTTATGTCCATTCCAAAGAGAGGTGACCCAACGGAATGCAAAATCATCGGACAATGTCATTAATACCACAAGCAAGTAAAATTTTCCTAAGGAAAACACAAAAATTTCTGCAACAATACATTGACAAAGAACTTCCCAGAAGTCCAGGGCAGATTCAGAAAAGGCTGTGGAATGAAGGATATCATCGCTGACATCAGATGGACCTTAGACGAAAGCAGAGAATATCAGAAAGATGTTCACTTGTGCTTTATTGACTACACAAAGGCTTTTGGTTGTGTGGATCATGACAAGCTATGGACAACATGGTAGAGAATGAGTACTCTGGAACACTTAATTGTGCTTATGAGGAACCTGTACATGGACCAAGAGGCAGCTGTTTGAACAGAACAAGGGAACACTTAATGATTGAAAATTAGGAAAGGTGTGTGATAGGTTGTATTCTTTCAACATACTTATTCAATCTGTATGCTGAGCAAATGATCCAAGAAGCTGGATTATATGAAGAAAAACGCGGCATCAGGATTGGAGGAAGACTCATTAACAACCTGTGATATGCAGATGATACAACCTTGTTTGCTATAAGTGAAGAGGATTTAAAATACTTACTGATGAAGATCAAAGACCATGGCCCTCGGTATGGGTTGCACCTCAACGTAAGAAAACATGAATCTTCACATTGGACCAATAAATAATATCAATATAAATGGAAAAGATTGACGTTGTGACAGACTTCATTTTGCTGGGGTCAACCATCAACACTCATGGAAGCAGTGGTGAAGATATGAAATGATGTACTGCATTAGGTAAATCTGCTGCACAGGACCTCTTTAAAGTGTTGAAGAGCAGAGACGTCAGTTTGAGGACTAAAGACAGTGAGTAAGGAAGACCGTAGAAAAATGGATGCATTTGAGTTATGGTGTTGGAGGAGGATTTGGAAAGTACTATGGACTGCCAAAAGAACAAACAGATCTGTGTTGGAAGAAGTACAGCCAGAGTGCTCCTTGGAGGCCAGGATGGCCAGACTTCGTCTTTCATACTTCAGACACATTATTAGGAAGGCCCAGTCCCTGGAGAAGGATATCATGTTTAGTAAAGTGGAGGATGGAGAACAAGAGGAAGATCCCCAATGAGATGACAGCAGCACTGGACTCAAATACAGCAAGGGTTGTGAGGCTGGCGCAGGGCTGGGCAGTGTTTCTTTCTGTTGTGAATAGGTTGCTATGAGTTGGTACTGACTCGATGGTACCTAACAACAACAAAAACAAAATGAAACAATTTAGATCCAACTGATAAAATTAAGAGGAATGCTTCTAATGTTAATTGTTTTTATTTGGTTACTGACAAGAGCGGCTGTATAGATTATTCGAAATTGTTAGGTCCTGTTGAGTTGGTCCTGACTCATAGCAACTCTGTGCACAATATAAGAAAACAGTGTCTGGTCCTGTGTCATCCTCAAAATTGTTGTGTTCGAGCCCACCGTTGCAGTCACTATGTCAATATATCTCACTAAGGGGTCTTCTTCTTTTTTGCTGACCCTCCATTTTACCAAGTATGATGCCCATTTTCAACAACTGTTCCTCCAAGGACATGCTTAGATAACAAGAGATGAAGTCTCATCATCCTTACCTCTAAGGAGCATTCAGTCTATACTTTCTCAAAGACAGGTTTGTCCATTCTTCTGACAGTCTATAGTACTTTCTGTAGTCTTCACTAACATTGTACTTCAAATATATCAGGTCTTCTAGGTCTTCCTTATTCATTGTCTGACTTTCACATACATATGAGATGCCTGAAAATACCAGGCTCTGGTCAGGCGGATTTTAGTCCTCAAAGTGATATCTTTGCTTTTTAACACCTGCCACTCCTAGGAAATCCTACACAGGGTTGCTATGAGTAAGAACTGACTTAACAGCACTGAAAACAACAATCTCTAAATCTTGCAGAAAAAAAAAATAGTATCTTGCTAACCTTGCTGTAGGCACTGGATTTGTTAGGACACAACACTAACCATAAAACAACAAACCTCTCATCAAAAGACACTATGAACACAACAAATAGACAAGCATTAGACTGGAAGGCAATATTCACAACATATACATATGTGAAAGGATGTACAGACAGAGAACAGAAACAACAACACAATCCAATTAAGAAGTGTGCAAAACACATAAGCAGAGACTTCATAAAGTACAGAGAAAAGATTACTGATGATATGAAAAGTGCTGAGCATCATCATCACGGAAATGTCATTGTAGTACCAAGCAAATGTCAAAAAGTAAAAATAATGACGAGTAAATGTTGGGAAGTAGATACAGAAACTGGGGAATCCTAGGTTATTGTTGGGAGTACAGAATGTTAGAAGCAATTTTGAAACTGACAGTTTCTTAGAAGACTAAACATGTATCTCTCCTCTGACTTAACAATTATACTCATAAGAGAAATGAAAGCATCTGAAGTTGTACACAGAGCAGCTAAAAACGAACAATTAGCCGGTTGCTCATTAACAGAATGGATAAACCAACTACGGTATATTCATATAATGTCATCGACTACTACTCCAAACTAAAATGAAGCACTGTTTCAGCAACATGGATTCAACCCCATAAGCCAGATACAAAACTATACATTCTACATGACTGAATTCATATGAAGTTCTGAAATAAGCACAATTAAGTTCTGGCAATAAAAATCAGATCAAAGGTTGCTTTGGTAAGGAGCAGGGTACAGGGATTGACTGGAAGAGTCAAGAAGTAACTTTTTGTGTGACAGAAACACTGTTTTTTAAAAAGGGTATGGGGTGCACTAGTGTGTAAGTGTCAAAATTGATTAAACTGTACCCTTTATATAAATAATTTAAATTACTCAGGTAGAAGCAAGTTTATGGCCATTGAGAAGTGTTTACTAGAAGACATACTTTTTAGATTTGACATCTGTAGAAACCAAGGTTAGTGCTTAATTACAAACCTTCAATAGCCTGCCATATTCTTGCCGTTCTGATGAAGGCAGGTAAACATTTATATAATTGCTCTTTTAAAATGCTTTCACAAAAATTGAAGACTAAGGACTAAAACTATACTTTTATATATACCAAAAAAAACCTGAAAATGTGACACTGATTTACACATGGGGCAGAAAGATTGATTAATGCCTCAACTCAATTTAGGTATTTTCAGAGTTGTACTTTGAATAAGGAGCTCTGGTAGCGTAGTGGTTACGAATCGGGCTGCGAACCTTAAGGTCAGCGGTTCGAAACTACCAGCCGCTCCACGGGAGAAAGATGAGGCTTTCTACTCCTGTAAAGATTTACACCCTTGGAAACCTTGTACAGGATCGCTATGGGTCGGACCCGACTCGATGGCACTTAACAACAACAACAACAACAACTTTGAATAATGAAGGTGGTGAACTTGGTGAAGAATCTGGGAAGACTTCAAATCCAGCTGAATCTGATGCAGAGCTTTGGAGTGCTCTGCCATGGTTGCCTATTGAAATTCTACGACAGATGACACTCTTCAGTTATGAAATAAGAGTCAATGCCCAAATGCCTAATGTTAGTTGTTAAGTGCAGGCAAGTTGGCTTCCTCTCATAGTGACCCTGTAAAGCATTTCTGAGGAGTGGCTGGTGGGTTAGAACCACTGACTTGTGATTAGCAGTCTAATGCTGATCCTATAGAGTCATATCAGGACGCCATCTGACATCTTGGAGAAAACAAAAACGGAACTTTCAAGGGAAGAAAAAAAAGTCTCTATATTAAAAAACTTGAGATGATCACAATCAAAGAAAACGAATAAATTCTGCATAAAAATAATTTCAAACTTACCTGATGACTGGAGGCAATGTATCGAGTCGAGTCTCTGGGCTCCAGGCGATGCCGTCCACTCGGACTCCATGGTGAAACTTTCGGAGAGTTTTGTACTCAATTCCTTCAGTTTCTGCTGCTTCCTCCTAAGCATACATAATAAATGCTTTAGTAGGCCACGAGAAAGAACGCAATAATCTAGCTATCATTATAATGAAGAATTTACCAGGAGTTCACATATTTGCTTTGGAAAAGTTCAAATGCAAACCAGACATTCAGCTCTAACTAGTTCATTGAAATAAAAAACCACCATCATAACGCCAAGTCTCTCAAAATTAGTCAAAATCAACTACAGTCAAAGAGTAAACATGATATACTTCATTTTAATGAAAACATATTTAACTCCTAATAGTAAACACATTTCACAGCAAACTCAGGGGATAAAGAATACTTTGAGAATCAGAAAATTTTAGGTAACACTGAACATAAAGTTACGCTTATAAGGAAGAAACCATGGACTTTATGGTGCCTCAAAACCATGATAAGTATCAATAATTTTTATATAGTTTATATATGGCACTCTAGAAGTATTAAGATAGTAAGTAATCTGTAATACTAGTCTATGAATTGTGTTTGTTGTTAGGTGTTGTCAAATGGGTTCAAACTCACAGTGACCCTATGCACAACAGGATTAAACACTGCCTGGTCCTGTCCCATCCTCCTATCTTTTGAGTCAACTGTTGTTGACATTTTGTCAACCCATATCCTTGGAAGAGGCTGGGGGCCTCCCCCCACACTTTTTTTAAAGTGGAGGCACTTTACTGTCTATGAATTAAAACACTAACTCAAATCCAACCCAACATACTGCCACTGAGTTGACTATGACTCATAGCCTCCCTGCATAGAGTTTCTGAGGCTGTAAATCTTCCCTGGTGCAGACAGTTTCATCTTTTTTCTGTGGAGCACCTGTTGGGTTTGAGGTTAGCAGCCCAATGCTTAACCTCAGTGCCGCTGAGACTCCAAATGAATGATGAATATACACACAATAATTTAGTTAATTTAGACTTCTGGATAAATGACCTTGAGTATAAGCATTCAATAAAGACAACTTATTTACTGGGTTTAAAGAACCAAGGTGGCACTGTTAAGATAAGCACTGGATTGCTAACGCATAAGGTCTGCGTTTCAAACCTACAAGCAGCGGTGTGGATGAAAGATGAGGGTTTATGCTACCATAAACATTTATCATCTAGGACTCTATATAGGTCTCTATGAGTCAGATTCAACTCAATGGCACTATTTTTGATATTAACCCAGTTTAATCCTAGCCAAATGACTTAAGCTTCATCCTCATAGATAGAGGGAAAAATAAATTTTAGAAAGCCATCTGTATCTGAAAATGTGGACAATCACCTGAAAGTCTCTCACTACAAAGGTAATGCAAAAATCCACATCTATAAAGTAACTGCAGAAAGCATCAAAAGAAGATAGAAGGAATACAGAGTGTCACGGTACCAAAGACAAATGGTTGATGTTCAACCATTTCAAGAGGAAGCATATGCTCAAGAGCCAGTGATACTGAAGGAAGAAGTCCAAGATGAACTGAAGGCATTGGAAAAGAACAAAGCTCCACGAATTGATGGAATACAGGTGAAATCTTTCAACAAACTGATGCAACACTGGAGGAACTCACTCATCTATGACAAATTTGGAAGACAGCTAGTTGGCCAATGGACTGGAAGAGACCCATATTTGGGCCCATTTCAAATACAGGTGACCCAGTGGAATGTGGAAATCATTGGACAGTACCATTAATATCACATACAAGTAAGATTTTACAAGAGATAATTTAAAAACAGCTGCAACAGTACATTGACAGGGAACTGCCAGATGTTCAAACCAGATTTAGATGAGAACATGGAATGAGGGTTACCACTGCTGAAGTCAGATGAATCTTGGCTGAAAGCAGAGAATATCAGAAAGATGTTTGTGCTCTACTGGTTATGCAAAGGCTTTTGACTATGTGGTTTATGACGAGCTATGGATAACACTGTGAAGAATGAGTATTCCAGAACATTTATTTGTGCTCATGAGGAACTTGTACATAGACTAAGAGGCAGTTGTTAGAACAGAACGAGGGGACATGGAAGATTTAAAATCAGAAAAGGTGTGCAACAGGGTTGTATTCTTTTGCCATATTTAGTCAATCTTTATGGTGAGCAAATAATCAGAGAAACTGGATTATATGAACATGACATTAGGATTGGAGTAAGATTCATTAACACAGATGCTGCAACCTTGATTGCTGAAAGCAAAGAGGATTTAAAATACTTACTGATGAAGATCAAAGACCACAGCCTTCAATATGGGTTGCAACTCAGTATGAAGTAAACAAAAATCTTTACCACGAGACCAATAAATAACATCATGATAAATGTAGAAAAGGTTAAATTGTCAGAAAATTCATTTTACTTGGATCCACTATTAATATTCATGGAAGCAGCAGTCAAGAAATGTAATGATGTATTGTATTAGGCAAATTTGCTGCACAAGAACTATTTAAACTGTCCAGCAGCAAATATATCAGTTTGAGGACTAAGGGGCTCCTGACTCAAACCATTGTATTTTCAATAGTCTCATATGCATGTGAGAGTTGGACAGTGAATAGAGAAGACTGTACAAGAATAGATGTATTTGAGCTTTGGTGTTGGAGGAGAAGATTAAAGGTACCATGGAATGCCAGTACAAACCAATCTGTATTGGAAGAAGCACAGCCAGAATAGAATGCTCTTTAGAGGCTAGGATAGTGAGACTTCAGCTCTCATATTTCAGGCTATAATTAGGAGGGACCAATCCCTAGAGAAGGACATTGTTGTTGTTGTTGTCAGGTGCCATCGAATCGGAACCGACTCAAGCGACCCCATGCACAGCAGAATGAAACAATGTCCAATCCTGGGCCAACCTCTACCACTGCCACACTTGACGCCATCCTCTTTTTCTCTGACCCTCCATCTTACGCAGCATGACATCCTTCTCCAGCGACTGTTCCCTCCGGACAATATGTCCAAAGTATGAGAGACGAAGCTTAGCC